GTAGTGCTGTGTTCAAAATATCGATACGACGATGTATCGTCACAGAGATTTGACGATAGGAGGATAGATACAGCAGGCCCTGTATCGATATTGTGGCACGTGTGCAGCAGTGGACCGCGCTTAATTTGAATACAAGAACACCGTTTAAAATGGTGTAGAAAAAAAATAAAAAAAATAAAATGGTGTGCAGTCATGTATCGTGATACGTATCATACCGTGGCCTCTGTATCGTGATACGTATCGTATCGTGACTTTGCTGGTGATGCACAGCCCTAGTCTCTAGGCTCCTGTTTGTAATAAAAACAAACAAAAAGCATTAGGAAATTCAAAATGTGAAAATATGCAGTCCACTCCACATTACTGCAACACTGCAAACCAGCAACTTAAAAGGTGTAGTTCAAAAAATTGTCATCAATTACTCACCCTTATGTCGTTCCAAACCCACAAGATTTCGTTTCTCTCTGAAACACAAATGAAGATATTTTAAATGAAAGAGATATGTCTCTTTATTGAAAGTCCATTACACCAAAATTTTATGCTCCACAAGTCCGTAAAAATAATACCTATAAATCGAACAGTTTTCTTGTTTAATTCACATGAATCTTCTGAAGAGACATGATTCTTAATATGATGAACAGATTTAATTTAGCTTTTATTCCTGTATGAATATTGACCAAGCTAATCAAATATGGTCAATGGAATGTGTGAGAACAGACTTCGATAAAATTGCTTGTTGAATATTGATTGCTTTTACAGTGTCTTTGTCAATTTTGGCGCTTGGAAATTTTGGTTTCATGGAGGGTAGGGCTGAACGATTTTGGAAAATAATCTAATTGCGATTTAATTTTTACCAATATTGCGATTGCTATTTAACTGTTATTTATTTATTTTTTGTGGGTTTCATGCTGTTCGCTAAGGCATAGAACACACACAGGCTTTCCTCCTCACCAACGAAATTAAATACCGTGTCTACACCGGACGCGAGCGGCAAAATACAGTAGAAACCATTATAATCAGTGACGCTGTGTACACTGGATGCGGCGCGACAAAACCCGACATTAAACTGATGCCTTGTTCTATTTATGACGTACTGACACAAAGTTAAAATGATTTGCAACGGTCGCTTTGTCGCGTCCAGTGTAGAGCTGTTGCGGCGCGACGCGACAACTGTAGCGTCCGGTATAGACACGGTGAGTGAAGCCGAGAGCAAGATATGCCTCGTCATATTTTCTGCATTTAGCTTTTGAATGACCAGCACCTGCCTGGGTCTGTGCGACTTCATCTATGGCTTTTCTCTTCGCTTTCACAAACCAATCCATCTCCCATTCTAAGTTACGTACTTTGGCTGTTTACTGTTTTATTTCTTTTCTTTTTCTGCTGATGGCCCGCGCTCGACTTGAAGCAGCGCTGCTAGACCGATAGGTGTGTATCATCAAAGTACTGCGAGAGCTATAAGAGAGCGCGGACGTCTCCTTATGCTTTCTCTCGCCTTACTTTGATGTCATACACCGATCGATCTTCAAGTCGAACACACCTCTTTACTCTCACGTGTCACGTGACTGAGTGTAATCGCAGCCTCTGCGATTGAAAAATCGCGTTTTTTCATATCGTGATATTATCGCAAATGCAATTAATCGTTCAGCCCTAATGGAGGGTATTAAAAATGTTATATTTGAATCCTCATATTATCACCAGACTGGTTTGAAGAATGTCCAAAAGCAGCCATGTCCATGGACTGATTCACACATAGAAATTTGGGTTAAAGTACGGTCACATTTACTGTTGTTCGGACAATTTTTGTGGGCAAAATCCAGTAATTTCAGTGGGAATCCGTGCAATCAGTAATTTCATGCGAGAGCGAATGACCCCATTTATATTTTGCAACAGGTTCAAGTTGATCAACGCAACGATTAGAAAGCTGCTTGGTTTGAAAGTGATTTCTGTGTGAAATGTACATCATATGTCGCTACACTATTTACAATGGGCCTTTTTTTGCCCATGAAATTTCACTAAAATGTCACTATTATGACTGCGTATGTAAATCAGTCACAGACAGTGCATAAAGCTCACTAACTAGCAGAAAGATGTATTCAAAGAAGTATTCAAAGGCTGCAGTTGACGTGAGCAAAAGAGTGACACTGCAAAATCCCATATAGTCCCTATGTGGCGGCATGGCAAAAGCATTCTGGCCGGTTTGGGTTGGCAACTTATCAAGACAGAAGGAATGTAACAGAATTGCTGCAACAGATAGTCCCGCCTCAAACTCGCGCCATTGGTTGCTTTTTCAAGACATGATCACTATGTCAAACTAACTGGGATGCTCAAACAAACAGAACAATGTGTTGAAAACATCGGTAGCACTTTATTTTACAGTTCTGTTCCTGTGTACTTCTTATAGCAATTACAATAAATGTGAAATAACTAGGTACTAATCCTGAACCTACCCCTAAACCTAACTTAACCCATGTAGTTACCGTATACTACCAGTACTTTCCTGGGTAAATACACTGTAAAATAAAGTGTAATCAAAACATCTCTTTAGCGGAATCAACCTACAAACGCTTGCTTGTAGCTGAATTTGCATATTTAACCGGGATAAGAAGTGTTTTTCGCGATGAAAAGATACCTCACATCACCCTCCTAAAGAACCTCCTATTGCAGCTCAGCTTAAATGTTTAATAACCATATAATTGTGCTTAAATGCTTCCACTGGCTACCAAACATTGACTTTCCATTGACAAGCAGATGTTGTTTTTATGAAGATTAATGTTTTTGTGTGTATGTTTTGGTTTATTTAGGATGGCTTTGTGGTGCGGATCTACGCCACCAGCTCAGACCCAGCCCTACAGCAGGAACTGCAGCTCAAACTGGCCAGGAAGTGTCTTCATGCCTGTGGCATCTCCCTCTTTGACCTGGAGAAAGACCTTCATATCATCAGTGAGAGCGGCGCTTCAGTGCACACACGTCTATGCATGCACATCAGTGTTTAAGAGGAAGCGCGTGTTGAAATGAACTAACTTGGTGTTGTCTCTTTTGCGGCGTGTGTTTATGTCCTCAGGCACAGGGTTTGATGAGGAAGCAGCCCTGATTGGAGCTGGCAGAGAGTTTGCTTTGATGAAAACGGCATCTGGGAAGGTAGACATACCTCTCTATATTCCTCAGTGTCTCTGCGTTAGTATTTAATTGCGTCTGAAATACGTGTTGAGCTTTTCATGTGGTGGTGGAAGTGCTACTAGGTACGTTTACATGGACACTTTTTGCTTCCATCGGAATGAATTCATTCTGATTGACGAATCCGAACGTATTGTTTACATGAACGCTAAATAAAGTGATCGGGTTGATATGCGTGACGACCAGCACATGAACTGTTGTGCTGTGCTGCTTACTTTATAAAGCAGTAAAAGTGCCCCTTCCCGCACCCAAAACCAGTCGTCTGTTGATGATAGTCTTAAACAAGGACTGGTGGGACTTTGTCCTGCTCCACTTTACAGACGCTGAGTGAAAGGGGAGTTTTATAATGACGGGACACTCATTTATGACACTGTATTCATCAGGAAGAACAGCTCGTTCCGCGTGTCATATGTCATTACGCTATTTCTACGTCACTGCGCATGCGCAGTACTTTCCAGTTTCGGTTTTCAATCCGATCAAGTGCTTACATGTCCTCTCGCTCGGATTACAAAAGGAATAAACCACCCCTTACAATACGATCAAAATTTTAGTCGGATCTGGCCAGTTCAATCCGATTGACGTGGTTACATATGACTTTTTTTATTCTGATTGTGCTTCTAGTCCTATTACGATCAGATTAGTAGGGTCCATGTAAACGCAGCTACTGTCTAGCATATTTACAGCATCAGCTTAGAAGTCAAGATAAAGCAGACCATGATTGGCTGAATGCCAGTAAACCTTTGAAGAACATGTTAGGGATTTAAGAAAGTATATTTTGGAACCTAAGCCTATTTAAGGACCATTAAGTTAATATGAAATCAAAAATGATATATACTTGAAATCCAATATGTATATATATGCTTTTGTTGACCGTGTAATCTTTAATCAGAGTCCCATATCTTATAATTAGTGCTGTCAAACGATTAATCGCATCCAAGATAAAAGTTTTTGTTTACATAATATATGTATGTGTACTGTCTATATTTATTATGTATATATAAATCATAGACTGTAAAAAAAGATGGACGACGCGTCTCCTATTCCTTCCACTATAGAAAAGGGAAGCCAAAGCATCTCAGTATGCCATTGAGTAAATGACGTCATTTGGAGCCTGCGCAGTAGAGATTTGTTTGGAGCCGGAGTCTGCGCAGTAGTGTCGTGAGGTGGAGCCGCGGTATCGAACTCCCGCCCAAACTCCCGCAGACCCAATCAACCATAACGACACTCCCCGTTTTTATAGCATCAAATTACTAGCTAAAATCAAACTTATCACAAAAACAAACAATTTAACATATATCAGCGTGATAACAACTACCTTAAATGACAAAAACCATATTTCGGAAAATTGTATTGGAAGTGTAATTCATTTTTTTATTTTGACTCAATTCGTTTACATGGGGATGGCGGGGTTTATGACCTGTACTGCAGCCAGCCACCAGGGGGCGATCAAAGAGCCCGCAGCTTTCACTTTTCAGGACGTGTGAGGCACACCCGATATAAATACACACACATACAGTATATATTTAGAAAATATTTGCATGTGTATACATTTATATATTCATATTCTTATATTTTATATTATATATAAATATATTTAATATATAAACGTAACATATTTTTCTGTGTTTGTATTTATATATACATAATAAATATACACAGTATACACACATATATTATGTAAACAAAAATGTTATTTTGGATGCTATTAATCGCGATTAATCGTGTGACAGCACTACTTATAATATTGTTCACTTTCTCCTGATGTAGGAAAATGTACAGTATATAATGTACAGTATTAAAGTATGGAAGTCTGTCACAACTTCTGGTTTATGATAATGTTTTGCATTAAGATCTAATTTCCATGTCAGTTAAGTGTATGATTTAACAATTTTTCAAAATTGTATGTGTTTGTGGTATTATTTTATGTATTTTTATTTTAGTTAATTAGTTGCTAATTTAAAAATTGTTTCATCATTTAATGATAATCTAATAAAAATCACCATGTGAATGAAAAAAAAAACGAATAAGTAAAAAGTAAATTGTGTGAACACATCATGGTAATGAGAATTTTGAGGTTTTTCGTTTTTTTTTGTATTTATTTTAAATTGTCAAAAAATCTTAATGGTCCTAAAATTAGGTTTCTTTAGTCAATATATAAATAATAAATATAATAATAATATTAAAATAAATACATAAATGCATACATACATACATTTATTTTTGTGTAAGGAAATGACTGTGAATCCAAACTAGAAGTAATAGAAATGCTTTTGTGTGATTAGAAAACCGAGTCTGTTGACAAGTAGTAAAAGTGCACTGAAGCGTAGTCCTCTGCTAGTGCACAATCATCTGTCCATTAAATATGCACATTTATTTTGCACTCCTCATAAATCTACATCAGATGGCGGTTGTGTGAGTGAGTAAGTGTGTACCTGCTTGTTTCGGCAGTGTGTGAGGTTTACACTAGGTCTATCAGGCAGGGCTGATGGCAGTGATGCTGTCACTGGTGTGAAAGCGACGGCAGCAGCAGAGAAGGGCAGCCTGTACACATGCTTAAATAACTGGAAGTAATTTGATTATTCTACCCTTCCAGTTGAGCGCCGAGGCTCTTTGACACTCGGTGAGGCTAGAGCGTTTGAGAGGCCAAAGTGAGCACAGCTTGTGTGTATTTACACTTGATCCTAACGCAGTACAAATACAGGGTAGTGGCCAGGATCCAAAACTGACACACAATGAGAAATTAATGCAAGCACAAATTGGCTTTGGCAAGTACATAAAACAGTTTAGCCATCTGGCAACTAACTTGATTAGGAATTGAAAAAAAAGGCTTTGTTAAATAATATCGGTTAATAATTTATGGCTGGGTTATTATCTCAGTTGACCTGCCATTGCCAGGTGTGGCAAAAAGTTAAATATGGACGCTGGGTGTGTCTCATTGATGTGTAGTGATGGAGTGTGTTTTAGGGAGGTGCGGTGTGTGTGTGTGTGTGTGTGTGCCTGGCCTCATGAGATATGAGAGCCGCTGTAGGTTTATCATTCTATAAGACTAAACTCACCCTTTACCTTATCTGGAGATTATCCAGTCCAGTGAACGTGGCAGTAAAAACAGGCCTGGATGAGTCGTGACTGGGCAACTTTCCTAATAAACGCCATGGGCTGCAATAAAAAAAGGTCATGTAGTTTTTCCGCACACGTACATTAATGGACTGCAGAAATGCTGACGTGAGTTTTCTGTCATCATTGATTGTAGTTATTGTGTTTACCATTCCAGAAGTGCAGTATTAGCTTCCAAAATGACACATTTTTGTTTTTAAATACTGTAACACTATACTTCATTAATGACCTCTAAGTTTACAGAGCGCTTTACTAAAATTAGTTTTAAATAGTCAGTAATATCATTATGTGTGTGTGTTTCTGTGTTATTGTAGTGACTAAACCTGAAACTAAACCATAAAACAACCATTTTCATTACTTGAAATAAACAAGTAAAATATAAAAAAGATACTTAATTTCAGCAAGTTGCCAAGGCAACATTTCTTATTTTAATTGTTTAACTTGATGTACTAAAATAAAACTACAAATTAAATAAAAATGAATGAAAACTGACACATATAAAAGAAACAAAAACAACTAACAAGGACAAAAACACACAACAAAATAACTGAAAATAAATGAAAAACTAAAAGTATATAATTAAAAACTGGTTCATAATATTAATAAAAAACTATGTGTGTGTGTGTATGTGTGTGTGTCAGTTTTCATATATACAGTATCTCACAGAAGTGAGTACACCCCTCACATTTTTGTAAATATTTTATTATATCTTTTCATGTGACAACACTGAAGAAATTACACTTTGCTACAATGTAAAGTAGTGAGTGTACAGCTTGTATAACAGTGTAAATTTGCTGTCCCCTCAAAATAACTCAACACACAGCCATTAATGTCTAAACCACTGGCCACAAAAGTGAGTACACCCCTAAGTGAAAATGTCCAAATTGGGCCCAATTAGCCATTTTCTCTCCCCAAGTGCACACACACAGCAGTGAACACACACACTGTGAACACGCACCCGGAGCAGTGGGCAGCCATTTATGCTGCGGCAC